TCACTGATTCACACCGATTCAGTCACACCGTCACTGATTCACACAGATTCAGCATCACCCTATAACTGATTCAGTCACACCATCACTGATTCACACCATCACTGATTCACACCGATTCAGTCACACCGTCACTGATTCACACAGATTCAGCGTCACACGTCACTGATTCACAACGATTCAGCGTCACACCGTCACTGATTCACAACGATTCAGTGTCACACCGTCACTGACTCACAACGATTCAGCGTCACACCGTCACTGATTCACAACGATTCAGTGTCACACCGTCACTGACTCACAACGATTCAGCGTCACACCGTCACTGATTCACAACGATTCAGTGTCACACCGTCACTGACTCACAACGATTCAGCGTCACACCGTCACTGATTCACAACGATTCAGCGTCACACTGTCACTGATTCACACAGATTCAGCATCACCCTATCACTGATTCAGTCACACCATCACTGATTCACACCGTCACTGATTCACACCGATTCAGTCACACCGTCACTGATTCACACAGATTCAGCGTCATACGTCACTGATTCCCACCGATTCAGCGTCACACCGTCACTGATTCACACCGATTCAGTCACACCGTCACTGATTCACAGTCACACGTCACTGATTCACACAGATTCAGCGTCACACGTCACTGATTCACACCGATTCAGCGTCACACCTTCACTGATTCCCACCGATTCAGCGTCACACCGTCACTGATTCCCACCGATTCAGCGTCACACCGTCACTGATTCCCACCGATTCAGCATCTCAGCATCACACCGTCACTGATTCACACCGATTCAGCATCACACCGTCACTGATTCACACCAATTCAGCATCACACCATTACTGATTCACACCGATTCAGCATCACACCGTCACTGATTCACACCAATTCAGCGTCACACCGTCACTGATTCACACTATCACTGATTCACACCGATTCAGCATCACACCATCTCTTTATTCATACCGATTCACTGATTCACACCGCACAAGGAGAAGAGTGCTGTACCTCCACCACGGAGCCCGACAGGATGATGTGGGCGCACAGTGGACTCTGAGGATCGAATCCGTGATTCTTACAGTAGCTGGTCTGAGCCAGAGACACGGACAGAGACGACTGGGGATTCACCTGTCTCACACACACACACACACACACACACACACACAGATCATCAGTCGTCTGCAGTGTGTGTTCATGTTTTTAACTTCAGCTGCTCAGTTCTGCTGAATGTTGATAAAGTCAAATCGCTGCGTCACGTCCTGAGTCATGTGCTGAATCACACTTACATAATAAAACCACATCAGGGTTACATAGTCATAAAAACAAAAAAATAAATTAAAAAAATTTAAATAACATGATATATTAAATTAATAAAAAAGTTTTTTAAAAAGTTTTTAAAAAATAACTTTAATTGTTTTTTCTCACACACACACACAAACATGTATATATATATATAATATTATTTAATGCCAGTTTATGTTTTATTGCATTTTATCTATTTATTTCATATTTTAAAAAAATTATTTTATTTATTTATTTATTTTTACAATTAATGTAATTTTTATTACACTGCATCTATTTGTGTTTTATCTATTTTTACATTTGAGATTTTGGTCTATTTTGCTTCCATTTCATGTCTTCTTTCAGACTAGTGGAAAGAAAACATCCAAAATACACATTTAAATTACATATATATATATATATATATATATATATATATATATATATCATATAATATATATGAAAAAACAATTTTTGGAGCAAATTAGTAGAACAAAATTTCAAATATATACATATATATATATATATATGTGTGTGTGTGTGTGTTGTTCTATTTTGCTCCATAATTTGTATTTTTTCAGACTAGAGGAAAGCAAACATCAAAGACACACATTGAAGTGTTGATTTGATTTCAGTTGATTTATGGAGCGATAAAAAGAAAAATCCTGAATCCCCTCATCCTGAAAAACCTCGAACTATTGACAACAAAATCAATCAAAACATGTGAAAATGTTTTGTTGTATTTATGTGCTGGAAATGCATGCACATGAGTGTTGCTACAGTAAAAGCATGGTGAATGTTCGTTAGGGTGTATGATTGATCAGCACTGATCCGCACCTGCAGGTCCTGCACCGAGATCTCCAGGTGTGTGAGGAACAGGTACGGGGTTCCGGTTCCGTTGCCCGCGGGCCCGTCGCTGATGGAGAAGGCGTTGGAGAACGGCTGTCCTCGGACCGGATCGTGAGTGGAGATCGTGGCCATCGAAGCCCATTCGCACTTATTGACCACGAACCGGGCCATCCGAGCCACCTGCTCATGCGGCGGAACCGACAGAGAGCCACCGAGAGCGGCGACGAGCATCAGCATCATCATCATCATCATCATCATCATCACTGAACCCAACCAGCCACCGATCACCGTAAACAACCGAGCACAAACGACTCTGATCACAGAGGCATAACTGATTACAGACTGAACACAAATGATTCACATGAGTCGACTCCTGACACCACTGAACACAAATGATTCACATGATCACAGACTCATGAATCAATGATTCATAAGATCTCACACGAGTCATGAGTGAACTCCACAACAAATGGTCACATGATCAAAGCAGCTGTCATGTGACTTCAACACGTGTTTACAGAAGACTCCAAGCCACAAACAAGTTACTAAACCAACAAACACATTCGTTCAGTTATTAATAGCTCTCAGATTTCTTTACCTGCAGCTTGTGGGAGTTTCTGGAATAACATATTTAGTGATACAGAGAGGGAAGATTTTTGGCTTCTTTGACAAAAATTCTTCTTATCTAATAAAGTTGTTGAAGGAGACTAATAATATTAAACTTATCCATAATTGTAAACCAAACTTGTGAATAACCCCCAAAAATGTGTGTTTTTGTTGTTGTTGGTTGCTCTTTGAATCTAAACGCTTCTCGCTTTAAGTTCATTATCAGCTTATTGCTATTTCTTACCAAATTTCACATTCATAAATGTACATTTTCAAAGAAAACATCCTTTTTTGTTTTCAGGAAGAATGCTGATGTGTATGTAAACTGTGATTTATTAATGCATGTCTCCCTCAATGTCTTTTGCTCTTATTCTGTCTTTGCATTTGTTTTGATGTTCTTTTGTTGCATGAAAATATTAAAGTACAGTGCATTATAGACAGGGTTTTCTGTAAAGCGTCTTTGAAATTTGTTTGGTGAAAAGCAATATGCAAATACCTTCCTGCCTGCATCAAATTCAATATACTGAAACTGAGAACAGCATGCATCTGCACAACTAACAGTTTAAATTCTTTAACTTCCTAACCTGTGCTCTTTCCCCTCTCTAGAGCAGTTCCTCGCATCATGTCTGGCCGCGGTAAGAAGCTGGTCGCTGCGCCGCAGAGCAAGTCCTCCTCCGTGTCGCGGTCGACGCGCGCGGGGCTGCAGTTCCCCGTCGGTCGCGTCGCGCGTCTCCTGCGCAAGGGGAACTACGCGTCGCGCATCGGCTCCGGGGCCGCGGTGTACCTGACGGCGGTCATCGAGTATCTGTGCGCGGAGGTGCTGGAGCTGGCGGGCAACGCGAGCCGCGACAATAAGAAGCTGCGCATCGCGCCGCGGCACATCCAGCTAGCGGTGCGCAACGACGAGGAGCTGAACGCGCTGCTGGGCGGCGTCACGATCGCGGAGGGCGGCGTGCTTCCCAACATTCAGGCGCAGCTTCTGCCCAAGAAGACCAAAGCCCCGCGGGACACCGCCAACTCCAGCAAAGACGTGCAGTCCCAGGACTTCTGAAGCGCGGATCCGTTTTAAGCACTTAACTGTTGATGGGTTTTAACTTTAATAAATCTGGTTTTCTTTAAAGTCTGCCTGGTTTGAGCTTCAGAAGTTCCACCCTGCTGGGGAGAACCATAGACGCATCACAAAATCTGTACTGGTTATAATGGGACTTGTCTTGGTTTTAATGGAGACTGTACTGGACCCTGTGGGGCTCTACTGGTCACCTTCTGTTGGTGGCTTTTTTAAAAATGAATCCAAATAAAATGTCCCAAAACACTTCAGAAGGCCTTTATTTTTAAAGCAGGGCACATGTTTCTGAAGTCCCACATGAAGCCTAAACTGGCCTCATCTTGGTCTCGTTTGTGGCTTTTAGGTCCTTTTATGCTTGAGGCCTTCAAAGATGAACTCTGAGCCAGTGCTCAAGCTTGTGACACTTTCAAACACTTATTTGCTTTTAACTCTTGAACCCTTGTCTAAACACAAGCTCGATTAAACTTTATCTTTGTGTACTCTATACTCCAAAGTACCAAGACATTTTATTTTGTCTCTTAAAATGGGCTAAAAGCAAACCTGGATGGCCTAGAGCTGAAAGCTAGATTTAGCTGGTTTATTTTTACGTTGCTTTGAGTTTGTGTTGGAGCTTCATCAGAAGTTCTGCAGGCTTCTGAAGTCTAAACCGGTCTTGTCTGTAGCTTTTTATGCTCAAGGCCTTCAAAGATGAACTCAAGCGCGTGAAACTTTCTAAAGAACTTGCGTTTAAGAATACTTGCACCTTTATCTTAAACACGGAAGCTCAGAAAAATATATTTCAGCAATAAACTTTCAATGTTTGTACACCAAAATATAATTGTATTTTGTATCTTAATGTATAGGCTAAAAGCAAATATGGAGTCTAGCTCTAAACCGATAAATCTACTTTGACTTATTTTTGGAAAATTGTGAAGCATGTTCCTAGTTGAGTTATATTCAGTTTTTTCTTCCCAAAATGTGATGTGAACCTATTTTGTTGGATTATATATATATAGGGTAAAATATTTACTTTTAAATGCTTTTAAAAATTAATATATATTTTCAAAAATGGCCAAAAAACTCATCTCCACACTTCATCTTGTGTCTCTTCAGATGAACCCAGTCGTTCTCAACCAGTGGGACTCAGAATGAGACGAAACATCACGTCCAGATATTTCTAATTTACTCCCGCAGCAGGATCTTCAGTCTTAGAAAACATGGACAAACAGATGATTTTGACACCTGGAAATGTCATACTAAATGATCAAAAACCTTTAAATGACATGGCCATTTGTATAAAGAGCACGATTCTATAAAGATTTCAAAAATGGCCAAAAAACTCATCTCCACACTTCATCTTGTGTCTCTTCAGATGAACCCAGTCGTTCTCAACCAGTGGGACTCGGAATGAGACGAAACATCACGTCCAGATATTTCTAATTTACTCCCTCATCAGCTCTTTTATTGAAGCAGCAGGATCTTCAGTCTTAGAAAACATGGACAAACAGATGATTTTGACACCTGGAAATGTCATACTAAATGATCAAAAACCTTTAAATGACATGGCCATTTGTATAAAGAGCACGATTCTATAAAGAGCTTGAAATATTTTATTTATCAGGCAAAATTGTGAATAAAAGTTCCCAAACGTTTAACAGTGGAACGTCTCTGGAGCTTCAGCGCAGTCTCAATCAGACGAGCGTCACATGCTCCAGCTCAGTTCAGTTCCCGCTTTAACAGACCTGAGAAACCAAGCAGACATGAACAGAGAGCAGCGTTTGTTTCTGAGCTCCTGCACGTCACTCTTATGCCGAGTTCACACTTCATGATTTTCAAACTCGTGGCATCACTGTTGGGTTCACACTGCGTGACTATCTGGGGCAGCATTCAGTCGCTGCTGTGTTCACACTGCACGATGGATCGAGACCGCAGGTTACACACTGCATGAAGAATCGCCGACAGCTCTGTCTGGTGCAGGGTTGCCAGGTATTCGCTACAAAACCCGCCCAATTACTACTCAAAACTAGCCTGAAAAAACCCCAATTGCTTTCGAGGGGTCCCCCAGTAAAGATCGCGTACACATTTTTTTGGCAGGGTTCTCCAGGTACAATTCACATTCCAGGGCCTAAATATCACGTTATTGGGGTCGCTTCAACCTGCTGACATGAAAAACAACCGGCGGCAATCGCGGATTTGGCAACACTGGTCCGCAAACTACGTTTCATATAACTCCTCCCCAAACTTCCCGCTGCCCTGTATCGTGCTCTCTCATTGGCTGTAGGTCATCGCCGATGTGTTTTTCAGCGTGATTGTGAATCGCCGATTCCCTCAAATCGCGTCTTTGATAATTCACACTGTGTGATTGTCACTGATTTTGCAAAACCTGGCGGCGAGTGAAAAATCGGGCTGAAATCGTGCAGTGTGAACTCAGCATTAGTGTGATTCTGAACCATCCTCACCTGCTGGTGAAGAAGGCGACGAGCGGGAACTGTGGGTCGTGTGTGTCAGTGAAGACGTTCTGGAGGAAGAGGTTCGGCTCACAGCTGTGCTGCAGGTCAATCAGTCAATCAATCAATCAAAATTATATTTTTTATGATTTTAGTTTTGGTTAACAATAATAACCCTGATTTATAAATATATGTGACCCTGGAGCACAAACCCAGTCATAAGGGTCAATTTTTCGAAACTGAGATGTATGCATCATCTGAAAGCTGAATAAATAAGCTCTCCATTGATGTATGGTTTGTTAGGATCGGACAATATTTGAAAATCTGGAATCTGAGGGTGCAAAAAAATCTAAATATTGAGAAAATCATCTTTAAAGTTGTTCAAATGAAGTTCTTAGCAATGCATATTACTAATCAAACATTAAGTTTTGATATATTTACGGTAGGAGATTTACAAAATATCTTCATGGAACATGATCTTTACTTAATATCCTAATGATTTTTGGCATAAAAGAGAAATGTATAATTGTGAGCCATACAATGTATTGTTGGCTATTGCTACAAATATCCCCCAGCGACTTAACACTGCTTCTGTGCTGCAGGGACACAGATATATATGAGTGTGCAATGCTTTCAGGGTAACGTCTGCTGACACTCACGTTGAAGAATCGGGCCACGTTTCCCTCTTTCGAGGCGTCCAGGTAATACATCTGCTCTGGTGTGTGTTTGTGCTGCGGCTGTGATCGACCGTTTGATTCGCTCAGTCTGGGCTTCTTACTCACGATCTCCTCACACGCCTCGCTCCCTACAAACACACACAGAATCTCACACACACACACACACACACCGTCCCGATCTGGATGTGTTCACTGTGATCGTACCGTTCTGACTGCAGTCCAGCGACGAGACGGTGAGCTGCTGCTGATCCTGAAACACAGCAGAAAACACTATTTTCTATTTTAGTCTTAGCCCTGTGTTAAACATCCTTGCTAGTCTTTATCATATTTAGTCAACCTTATCTTATTTTGTTTTAGTCAAGTTTTAGTCGACCAGGGGGCGGTTTCACGAACAGGGCTTAAGACTAGTTTAGAGCGGTCTAAACTGAAAACATATCTTAAAATACATCGGTGCCATTGTTTGGTCTTAAAATGCACACAAGTAATGCTTTTTTGTAAGACATGCTTGTAAAAACGACTTAAATGTCCTAATTTAACAAAGGCCTAGTCCTGGTTTAATCTAAGCACTATCTGGGAAACCACCGCTAAAACTCTCAGCATTTTAGTCTAGTTTTAATCAATGAAACGTTAGTCACATGCTGTATAATGGTCAAGCTGATAAAAATATTTTTGGTTAAAATTATAATCGTAATAAACAATAATGAATAGAATGTGGACTCATACACATGGTTTATTTACCTCATCTAGTGTACTGATTTATTATAGGCTTTTTATTATATAAATTAATACCAAAGACTTGTGCACTCTCTCGGTCTACATTATGAAAACTGGTAAAACAAACAAAAAATATCATAACAGTGTAATTCCTAGTAATGCCAGTAATTCAAAATTGCAATTTCCTGTGTTTCTCTATTAAAACAACAGCGGTTGAGTAAGTGCATTTATTCAGAAACCACAATCGCAAACAATACAGTCGAGATCTCATGACAGAACACAGACGCTTTCATTTAGATCGCTAAACTCCAGCGTGTTTGTCGCTGTTTTCAGATCAAGGTTGCCAGATTGCAGAAAATAAACAAAGCGCCGAGCAGAAAATGTATCAATGTAACAGCGAAGCTCTGATTCTGGGATTAGAACTCTTGATATCTGGCAACCGCACTCATGAGGCGTGTAGAGCAGTCCGCAATAACATTCTTTGATGAAATTATTTTTTGTTTACATTTTAGTCTCGTCTTTTATTGTCCACGAAACTGCTTGTTGATATAGTCACAGTTATTATTTATTGACCTTATTGTCATCGTCTCATTTCAACTCATCAACAACATTTTTCATAATAGTTTTCGTGAACGAAATGAACTCTAGTGGGGACGGGCGAGTGCTCCACCTGAGCACCAGGTCAAAGGTCACCTGCACTGACCTTGAGCTGAGCGAGTGGACTCTGGATCACAGGCACGTACAGCGGCGGAGAGCAGTCCAGCGGCTCAGTGACCGTCTCCATCGGTCCGGCGGGCAGCGTCCACTCCTCCACCACCTCCACCTCATCATCAGACACCAGCGGCTCTCGCTCCGCCGGCTCCTCCACGCTCTGCTGCTGCCGGAGAACCACGCCTGCACGCGAGAACCGCATCAGCACTGAGACCAATCAGACCAGACCACTTCATCTGGACAAACTGATGCCAAATCTTAGAATCACTGAGATACTGTTATAATTTTTGTTCATATTTTCAATTAATTTGTTTATTAAAATTATTAGTTTTATATATATATATATATATATATATATATATATATATTAAACTAAGTTTAACTATTTTGTTTTAGTTATTTTAGTACTTTTAAACTAAAACTAAACAAAAGTGAGAAATGTGCTAAAGATGAGCTAAAGTTTTTTTATATGTGACCCTGGACCTCAAAACCAGTCATAAGTGTCTGAATAAATAAAGCTTTCCATTGATGTATGGTTTGTTAGGATAGGACAATATTTGTCTGAGATGCAACTATTAGAAAATCTGGAATCTGAGGGTGCAAAAAAATCTAAATATTGAGAAAATGCAAATGTTTTGCATGGTTTTCGTTTTAGTTAACGACAACAACCCTGATTTATAATGAAAATGTTTTTAGTTTTAGTAAATACGGACACATGTTTCCATCACAGAATAAAAAAAATAAAAAAGGTAATTGCGACTTCTGATCTCACAATCCTTACTTTTTTCTTGCAGTTCTGAGAGATTCTGAGTCAGAATCGCAAGCTATAAATTGTGATATAAAAAACTTGCAATTGTGAGAAGAAGAAAAGTCAGAATTGTGAGATTTTTTATTTTGTATTCTGTGACAGAAACAAAGAAAACAGAACCGCAGAATTCTTTTACTTTTTAATTTTGTAGCAGAAACTAGCTTTCATAACTTAATGATAATAACCCTGATTTATATTTGAAGTAATGATAAAGTTTCTTTTCTGATTTAATGATAACTGATTTATATTTTATTTTAGTTTAAGTAATGCAAACGTTTTATTTTGGTTTTAGTGTAAGTTTATGAGGAGCACACGGCGTCTGTGTACCTGCGTAAATGCAGACGAAGGTTCCCTCGTCGAGGTCATCTCTGCAGCGAACGGCCCAGCCGCGGTCCGGTGTACGAAACACCTGCAGCCGCACGCGCAGACCCTTCTGCACCACACGGTTCTGACAGCGGCTCCTCGCACAGCCGCACCACGGGCCGCACTCGAACAACCTGACAGATCATGCAACAGATCACCTGACAGGTCAACAGATCACGTGACAGGTGCATTCAACTTGAAGCGGCGCTGTGCAGAATGATCAGTGTATGACATCAAGTACCACGAGAGCAATAAGGGAGCAGACGGATCCTTATGCTTTCGAATCGCTCTCGTGGTACTTGATGTCATACACTGATCATTCTGCACAGCGCCGCTTCAAGTTGAATGCGCCTAACATCACATGACAAATCATTTGACAAGTCACATGACTGATCTCATGATTGATCACGTGACAGATCAACAAATCACATGACAGATCGCCTGATAAATCACGTGACAGATCACATGACAAATCATGTGACAGGTCAACAAATCACAATAGATCACATGTCAAATCACGTGACTGGTCAACAAATCACATGACAAATCTCAACAAATCACGTGACAGATCAACAGATCACATGACAAATCACGTGAAAGATCACATGACAAATCACATGATAAATCGCGACAAATCACGTGACAGATCAACAGATCACATGACAAATCACATGTTAGATCAACAAAGCACAGCAGATCACATGACAGATCGCCCGATAAATCACATGACAAATCACTTGACAGGTCAACAAATCACAATAGATCACATGACAAATCACGTGACAGGTCAACAAATCACAATAGATCACATGACAAATCACGTGACAGGTCAACAAATCACATGATAGATCAACAGATCACATGACAAATCACGTGAAAGATCACAACAAATCACTTGATAAATCACGTGACAGGTCAACAAATCATGTGATGAATCACGACAAATCACGTGACAGATCAACAGATCACATGACAAATCACGTGAAAGATCACAACAAATCACTTGATAAATCATGTGACAGGTCAACAAATCATGTGATGAATCACGACAAATCACGTGACAGATCAACAGATCACATGACAAATCACGTGAAAGATCACAACAAATCACTTGATAAATCATGTGACAGGTCAACAAATCATGTGATGAATCACGACAAATCACGTGACAGATCAACAGATCACATGACAAATCACGTGAAAGATCACATGACAAATCACATGATAAATCGCGACAAATCACGTGACAGATCAACAGATCACATGACAAATCACGTGAAAGATCACATGACAAATCACATGACAAATCTCAACAAATCACGTGACAGATCAACAGATCACATGACAAATCACGTGAAAGATCACATGACAAATCACATGATAAATCGCGACAAATCACGTGACAGATCAACAGATCACATGACAAATCACATGTTAGATCAACAAAGCACAGCAGATCACATGACAGATCGCCCGATAAATCACATGACAAATCACTTGACAGGTCAACAAATCACAATAGATCACATGACAAATCACGTGACAGGTCAACAAATCATGTGATGAATCACGACAAATCACGTGACAGATCAACAGATCACATGACAAATCACGTGAAAGATCACAACAAATCACTTGATAAATCATGTGACAGGTCAACAAATCATGTGATGAATCACGACAAATCACGTGACAGATCAACAGATCACATGACAAATCACGTGAAAGATCACAACAAATCACTTGATAAATCATGTGACAGGTCAACAAATCATGTGATGAATCACGACAAATCACGTGACAGATCAACAGATCACAACAGATCAACAAATCAGAACAGATCACATGACACATCACATCACATGACAGATCACGAGCTCATCCCGACTCACCCCGTGCTCAGGGGCGCGCTCAGCCGCTGGTGTCTGTACGCTTGCTGCTCTCCCGCGCCTCCGAGCGTCTGCTGAACACATGCGCAGCTCCGTGCGTCTGCGCAGCCGTCGGTGCAGTCGCAGCACACTGAGAAGAGCGGCGCGGCGCTGAGGAAGCAGCCGTGTGGCCAGCGCTCTTTACGGTAGCGGAACTCTTTGGGCCGCGTCCCGTCCAGCTCGTTGAACAGAGAAACGGGAACCGGCTCGATCCCGCGGCTAAGGTCGCGCTCTAACAGCAGCGCAGCCGAGGCCGGAGCTCGTGCACGATTCTCTGGAACAATCTGTGGGTCGAAACTGAAGTTGTCCGGCTGCAGCACGCCGAGGCTCTCTGACTGCAGCAGGAACTGAAGCACCTCGATCAGAACAGATCACACGTGATAAATCAGTAGCCATATTTAAACCCAGACTCAAAACTCATGTTTAGCTGTGCGTTTACTGAATGAGCACTGTGCTACGTCCCAGCTGACTGCACTGTATTTGATGTAGAATCATGTTTATTCTGAACCTTTTAAATCCATTTTGAAATGTTTACATTCCTTGTTTTATTGTTGTTGTTATTTTTTATGGTTATTTTAATTCCTTTTATATGTAAAGCACTCTGAATTACCATGGACCCTTTTCACAAGAATGTGATGACGCGATGACCTTTATTTATACAGCACTTCTAACGATACAGACTGTGTCTAAGCAGCTGTACAGCATTAAACAGGAAAACTGTGTCGATAATGCAGAAGGACAACAGTAAACACTCAATTTTCAGCATCATCAGTATCAAATTTTTTATATATATATATTTTTTTTTTAAATGCATGTACATTTATAACACTATACTTTGTATTTTAACACCTTTGCATCAAATTACAAAAAGCCTAGTTAAGGCTAGCGCGAGGGTGTTTCTAATGCAGCGTCTAGGAGAGGGATTTGACCTCGTTCTCTCCTCTGACTGCCGTTATCAGTCTCGCTCAATTTGTTTTCCTTGTTTTGAAAACCATGAAAACACTATCGTGGAGCTTCTTTTGCTATTTGAGCAACTGGGAATGCAGAAAATATATCTCTGGCACTCTCCCATTCACTGCTCTCGAAGTTAACCCCCTTAGCTGTTATAAATTCACTGTAAACCTCGGCTTCACGGGGATTATTGCTTTAATATAAGGCAGGCGAGTAGATAAAGACATGGTTTATTACTAAAATAAATGATGATAATGCCAGACCGTGTGCTGTCCTTCTGCAGAAAGTTCTCCGTCTCCACACCGTTCCTCAGGCTCTCCGGAGAACACTGAGCCTCTGATACGGTCACCGTCAGTATATCTGAACACAGACGCGACACTCGTCAGAATGACACCAAACACGAGCAGCGCTGCTGATCACCGGCACAAACCTTCATCAATCAGCACCTCCTGAATGCCTTCGCTCCTGAGGGAGGTGAGCTCAGACTCCAGAATGATCTTCATGGCCTGAACATACTCTGAAACAGATCAGAAAAATCACACGATCAGCTGGAACCCATTCAAATACAGGCATTTCCCTTCAGACATTTCTCTTTAAATATAATAAATATGTGACCATGGAGCACAAAACCAGTCATAAGGGTCAATTTTGTGAAGTTGAGATGTATGCATCATCTGAAAGCTGAATAAATAAGCTTTCCATTGATGTATGGTTTGTTAGGATCGGACAATATTTGAAAATCTGGAATCTGAGGGTGCAAAAAAATCTAAATATTGAGAAAATCATCTTTAAAGTTGTCCCCCATTTTAAACTGTTACCATTGTCATATAATGCCACAAAGATTGCTGAAGTCAGCAGATTTGACTAACAGAGAAGCTGATCTCGGAGTAAAAACAACATTATGATGCTGCCATCTTTCTAAAGTCATGTTTACCCTCCTGTAATCTGGCTCTGAATCTCAGGTAAAAAGTTTGACCCTCCTCTACAAAATAGCGGATTACTCAGTCATCTGAAAGCTGAATAAATAAGCTCTCCATTGATGTATGGTTTGTTAGGATCGGACAATATTTGAAAATCTGGAATCTGAGGGTGCAAAAAAATCTAAATATTGAGAAAATCATCTTTAAAGTTGTCCAAATGAAGTTCTTAGCAATGCATATTACTAATCAAACATTAAGTTTTGATATATTTACGGTAGGAGATTTACAAAATATCTTCATGGAACATGATCTTTACTTAATATCCTAATGATTTTTGGCATAAAAGAGAAATGTATAATTGTGACCCATACAATGTATTGTTGGCTATTGCTACAAATATCCCCCAGCGACTCAACACTGCTTTTGTGCTGCAGGGACACAGATCAGCTGTATGCAAAGTGACCCACATTTGGTTTTTAACCACTGAAAATGTGTACAATTTAACAATTTACTCCTGGAGCCATATTGAGATCCCAGTATCTGTGGAACTGAACCATACAGGGCCTTAAAAATGAATATACCAAAAGGAAAGTTTGTTTTTAAGATGTTAAGATATCTTTAACATTTCTTGAGTTACAGGCATGCAAACTTTGGAGAAAAAAACTTGAAAAGTGATTTTATCATTGACATATAATGCCACAAAGATTGCTGAAGTCAGCAGATTTGACTAACAGAGAAGCTGATCTCGGAGTAAAAACAACATTATGATGCTGCCATCTTTCTAAAGTCATGTTTACCCTCCTGTAATCTGGCTCTGAATCTCAGGTAAAAAGTTTGACCCTCCTCTACAAAATAGCGGATTACTCAGTAAATATTCATCCATGACATTTAATATTTTGGTTTTCATCACTAAACATGTTTACCTTTCTTCAGAAAGAATACTGACAAAATAAAAAAAATTGAGCCAGGGCTTTATTTGACACGGGATGATCCGTGTGTGTGTGTGTGTGTGTGTGAAATGGCAGAAGCACAACAAAACAACTCAAACTAAAATTAAAATGAAACCTGAAAAATAAAAGCTAATTCAACATATTAATAAAAACAGTAAAAGTATATGAAGAGTATATTTGTAACAACAGATAACTCAAAATCATGTTTTTTATTGTCTTATCGTGAGTGTTAATTAGCTGTATTTGTTTAGCTATTTAATCAATGCAGCTGGATTGAGATTCATTGGAATGCAGGATAAAATAATCATGATTTCTGAACATTTGAACTCTTTATGAATTACACTGAAATGCAGCATTTAACACTACACTTGTTTTCTAGTATGAATATCTAACCATTCTTGAATCAGGATGCATTTACTTGACAAGTAAAACAACTTCATATATGTAGTCGTGTTTGTCTGAGAAGTGAGGAATATAATCTTGTTTAAGAGTAATTTCTTCACATCACCGGCAGATCAGTTGACTTGTTTTAAGCACAATGCACTTAATATAATTTTTCCCTGGAAACAAGACTAAATATCTTACATCACTTCGCTTCTCTAGTACATGCAACTTGATTTAAGATAACAGAATCAATAGATAAGTTATTTTAAATTGCAATAATAATTCACATTTTTTCTGTATTTTTAATCAAGTAAATGCAGCCTTGATGAGCAGAAGAGTCTTCTTTATAAACATTAAAAATCTTACTGATCCCAAACTTCTGAACGGCAGTGTATACAGTATATCAAATACAATATATGCATTGTTTATATTACATTTAGTAAGTAAAATTTATTTATATAATACAAGTGTTGAACAAATAAAATTACAGCACAATGGCATAGATAACATCATTAACACTCAAAACATGAAAGAATAAAGTTTGATTAAAATAAATATTAGATTTTTTTGCATTACATTCATGACAATTTTCATGTTAAATGTGTTTAATTGTCATGAAGATAATGTCACAATGCAAAAACAAAAATGCTCTTAAAATAAGATTCACTGTTTTTACACTAAACACTTGTTTATAATCTGTGACCCTGGAGCACAAAAGCAGTGTTAAGTCGCTGGGGGATATTTGTAGCAATAGCTCACACACACACACACACACACACTCACTCACTCACACACTCACACACACACACTCACACACACACTCACACTCACACACTCACACTCACACACTCACACACACACACACACTGCTGGCACAGGAAAGGTGCCCACAGATGTGGTTTCCAGCCTGCGCTGTGGAAGATGTTCCTCTCGTCTCTATACCTGCGTCTCTGCTTTCACATTGTGACCTACTTGCATAATTCTGCCATTAGAACTACGCCTGTTATAGATTGAGTAAATGATAATCAGATAGCTGATGCTTTAAAGATACTCATTAGTGTGTTTGAAACTTAAAACGCATCAGTCTGAGTGGGAACATGCTGAATGTCAATTATATCTGTGCACACTAAACGCTCAAGGACACTCATTTCAGAGTTTGATACACAAACTCAAACTCTGTGTGTGTGTGTGTGTGTGTGTGTGTGTGTGTGAGAGAGAGAGAGAGAGTGTGTGTGTGTGTGTGTGTG